ATAGAGCTGTAGAATTGAAGTGACAAAATGCGTTGTTCATTTGTGAAACTTTTGCAGTTAAAAAAAATCAAAAAAGATTGAGACATTTGGAATTAAAAGAAGTAAGAAGAAGCAACGAGTGAGATTAAAATTTTCTGGTATTCGACAGTTGCCTTAATCCTCGAGCAAAAGAATCTCAGAACATTATTTATAGCCAAATAACTAATTTAAATATTTTCGTCCCGCTACATAGCACTTAAGGAGATGTAAAAACAATTTGAACCTGAACCGTACTTGAGTTGAATTATTTTATTTAGACGACCTGTCAAAGTAAACTCTCAAGTACCTGACTGCACCGTAAAAGATACAAAACACGATGGGGAATGGGTGATTTCTTGAAATTGTGCTTGCATGATTGTAGTCAGTGTTGTTATTTAAGTGTTTGTATGAACAGGATCTGTCTATGACTAACTTAGATATGGAATTAGAAATCTTTAAATTTCGAGTTTTAGTAACGAAAATCAAATAACAATGTAACGTACAATTGACTTAATGTGACAAATACCTAGTAATGACACACTGCAAAAACAGGATTAATGTCAAATCTTGATTAAAAACTGTAAAGTTTGATAATCACAATGGTTATTTATTAATAAGTTTTATTAAAGACTCCCCCATGCATTTAATTAATAAGACAGATGTTTATTCTTCGATGTTCAAAAGCAGACTATTAATTTCTATGAAGGGGCTAGCAACTATACAACGAGAAAGCCACTTAATAAAGTTGTAAATACAATTTAAATGTTAAACGACAGTTGATACAACAAAAACTTAGTTCAATCCCCAATTCAAATCTACAATCTAAGTTTTTAAGACTTGAATTCACAACAATCTAAGTTGTCAACACTGCATGCAATAAATGAAATTACACATTGTATGTCGCGCGGCTCAAAAAGTGCAATAAAATGATTACAATATGACAAACAAGGAACAAGAAGAATGTTGAATAATTTTAAATGAAAGCTCAAAAATTATTCACATATATTGAGTTTTATGCTGTTTTTATGGCTTGAAGTTCCGTTTTTTTACGTAATTTTTTAAATTGAGCAAAAAGGAAAGAAAAGCATGAGGATCCTTAAATATGTCAAACAGCACTGCTGAAGAGTGAAAATAAAATCCGAGAGAAAGAGTGAAATAAATTTTTCGGAACAATTTCCAATGGAAAAGTCTCTCAATCAGCAACTTCCCGTGAGAGTTCGGGTAAAAAAAGAAATGCAAAAATGCGCATAAGCATGAACTTTATTAGCAAATTATAATCGTAGCGTGATGTGTTGCATTTAACGGCTTTTGTTGTGAAAAATACATAATTTTTTACATTGTATCGCTGTGGTGTTATTAATTGTCATATCATTTTCTTTTTTCCTTTCTCATTCTCTCGTTTAATGAGTTATGAAGTTGTTTGGATATTATTTCATGATGGAGGGAAAATGAAAGGACTTTTATACTCACGATATGTGCTTTATAGAATTTTATGTGCATTTTCTCTCGTTCTCGATGACAAAAATAAATTTTTTGATTGTTACATTGGAAAACTCTTGATTGCAAGCAGTCATAATAAATCTGAATAAATGAGATTCCGAAAAAATAATACTTTTTTACAGCTTCTGTTGCAAAAAGCCATTACAATTTATATATGAAAATATTTGTATATTGATGGTGCAAAATAATTTGATAGATTTTTCAATTGATTTTATGCAGACACTGAAAAGGGGGTTCTGCAATATTGAGATGAATTTGATTTCAATGGAACTTTTGTGGATTTTTGTTTATTTTTGGCTACAATGTCATAGATGAAGAGAACATGTGCTTTTGAAACAAATCAAGTTTTATTAAAAATGTTTGGAGATGTTTTCAATATCGAAATTATTGAATGAAGTTGTAGATAATTTGCATAAAATTAAGCGTATCCAGGAATTTAAAGAGAGAGAAACCAAAACATTTTTTGGTAAGCAAAATTTTAAGATGGGTGTTTTTTTTTCACAGAAACTTTAAGAAATTCTGCTGACAAACGGAGATTTGTGTCCTAAAATCTCCACTAGCTACTCGCTTAACCTCAGTGAAATATTAATGTGTCAAGCTTGAGAGCTTAGTGAATAAAAAGATTAAAAATATTTGTCAAAGTTCGAAGAATCTTTTAAATTTCAGTCTCAACTTTACAATGTGCGACTTTGCTGTTAAAAATGGTTCATACAAAAAACATTCATAACTGCTTTAGTGATTCGGTAACTCAACTTTCGTTTTAAAAGCTCGACTTCCTTATTGTTTTTCAACATTTCCGAGTCGAATACAAAACACAATGTCCAAATAAAACTAGCATGTTGTTCGACTAATGACAAATTCAACGGATCGTTAAGAAGAATTAAACATTAGACAGTATGTCTGGTTATTGGTAGACATCATGTCTAGTGATCCATTCAAGTTTGCTACATACATTCTCAGAAGTATTTAACATACAAACTAGTTCAAACCAACCAATTCAAAATTTAGAAGCAATAAAGACTTCGAAAACAGCAATCACATCACGAAGCCCTAAACTGTAACAAATTTGTCTCATTATTGTTCATACCAAAAATATCAGTATGTATGTAAATTTTAATTCAAAATTCGTATTGATATGCTCGACATTCAATGAAATGAATTTTCTTCATCAATTTCAATTTGCAGGCATAATTCATAATAACGCGTTGATTCTCTTTCCTCTCTTAATGGCAGTGCTGACGATTGTGAAAATGCATAACAAAAGAGCACATTGAAGTAGCCAATTGAAAGTGAAATTATCCATTACATGAGATTACTTAACACTTCAGTTGAATGAAATAAGCTGTAGAAATATGTATATCGCCTAGTAACCTACATCAGTCTTAATGCTCAGGCAAAAAATAAGTGAACAATGTGTATAGTTTTATAATTCTCTAATTTTTAATAGCCATTGAAAGCAATAAGTTTAAATGGATCAATCACAATTAATTTCGCTTTCAAAAAAAAAGTGCTGTGACTGGAAAGGAATCAATTAGAAATAATGTCTTTGAAGTTTCATTTGATTTTTAGATCTTCCTTCTCAGTTTGTCGTTGTTTCTTTCAATTATTGTCAAAAGGATTCATAATCCTTGATGTTTTTTGTGATTGTGGTTTGATAAATCACTTGTTCCTCTCTTTGTTGGCAATTGTGAAATATTGTCTTGCTCAAAACCCTCCCTTAAAAGTCGTTGACTTATGATGTTTATTTAAAATCAGATTTAATAATTGACGTAATAAATGAATGAATCCTTGAATTTGAGACTTCATAATTAAATAATTCCATCGACAAAAAGTTTCAAGTTAAATTTTTTTATTGCTGAAAATTAATTTAATCATTCGAGAAATTCGAGACGAAAAATATTTTGTCATCTCCAATAAAATATTCACAAACTCTGAGAAATTTAATTAACATTTAATCAAGTATTTAAGCATGAAAGGAGAAGGAGAAGAAGAGATGAAAGAGGTTTTGAATCAAACATTTTAGACAAAATACTTTCGCATAGCTTTTATTAACTCAACGACTGGTATTTTGGAGATTAGACAATTTCAAAATTTTAGACTCAAATTTCCGGGAATCTTTAAAAAATTAAGTTGATCTATTTCTGAAAAATAAATGAATTTTTGCTAGATATTATTTTATTTGGTATTAAATTAATTAATTTAATTGAAATGAGCAAAGTTTAAATCCTTTTGAGAAATTTAAGCGTTCCTAGAAATAAAAATAAAATGCCGGTATAACAAAAAGCTTATCTTTCGCATCTGTTTGAAGTAGATTTTTGGCAAGGCATTTGCAGATTACAATCTCTCAATCATTTTTGTATGGAAGATTATAATCTTTGTAAGGGGCCGTTCACTTATGACGTCTAGCGGGGGAGGGGGGGGGGGTGGGTTTCAGCAAGAAATTCCTGGAAATCCATTGTTCTTTTTTGAAAAATGACCGTTAATTTCGGACGTCATAAGTGAACGATCCCTAAGAAGATTATTTGAGGATTATAATCTGCGAGAGCTTTGATTTTAGATTAGAGGTTAGTCACAGACAACGTTGGATGACAGTTTCTGATTTACAACTGACACAACAGGACACAACAGTGAGTTGAAGTAACAGTATGATGTAGTGCAGAAAATTCCAGAATATTTGCCATGTTGGGTGTCAAAAGTGCGTCTCCTGATGAAATTGCTGTTGCTTATTAACTCACAGGCTTCATTCAAGGGTGTGGAACTGAAGAATTACATTTTGATCATTTTTGATAATTTTTTTGATCATTTTTTGATCAATTTTGATAATTTTTTTGATAATTTTTGATCATCTTTTGATCATTTTAGAATATCGTGAACTGCCACTCGTTTAACCTTTAATTACAAGCTTAGTTCGCTGGCCGAAAAGATCAATTGTGATCTACTGGGGGTCCTCGATTTGAGGAAGTGTTTTGTTCCAGAAAAATGCTATTCAAATCGAATCTACTCAAATCGAATTATTTACTTTTTCTGTGAAAAATGTCACATCAACTCAAACTGAGGACTTTCAGTATTACCTACATTAGATGGCGCTTGAAGCTTTCTCCATTACTAGCTACCTCTTGTTTTTTACTAATATCAATTATGCAATGCTGCCTTTAACTTTAATTAGCCACGAATTTTTTTCTGGTTCATTACATAAGATCTGAATAGATGATGTGGTCTTTTAGAGCTTTCAGGTGATGGAAGGACCTCAGTTCAATCAACACATGTGTTTTGAAAGCATAATTAAACGACTACTTAAACCATTAAAATGTACATGCTTCTAGGATTAGCTTTAAATACAGCATCTGTAAAGCAATCATTATAGCTACTTTCATACATCATATGTAGAAAAATCTCAAAAAAAGTTCAATTAATTAATTTAAATAATTTTATTCTTTTTTTTATATAATCAAAGAGAAATAATTTTTTCAAAAAAAAATAATCATGTTGAAAAAGGTTTTCATCTTTATTTATTCCCCTTAATCATCCAAAAAAGACTTATCATCATAAAAAAGCATGATTTATTTTTTTGTTTCAATTAGAAAAAGAAAGAGTACAACGTACATTAGCAATTCTAAATTTTTAGATATATCATTTCTTTTCCCGTTTGAATTGAAAAGAGAGAACAAAAAAGAAAACGAGTCAAAAATTACATTTAAAAAAATTTTCTATACCGAAATTAAAAAAATTATTAATTCAACTAGATTAACATGTATGCAATTGGTTGGTTGCAACAAACCCAATCCTAAATGAGTTGATTGTGATCAATTTTTATTTCTTTTCTTTTCTCATTTGTTTTTGTTGTTGTGTAATGTAAAAATGGTGATTTAATCTGTGTCATACTAATTTTTTTACCTCAATTTTAATATTTTCTTTCTTTTTTGGGTTAAATAAATGTTTTCACTTTAAAGGTTTTTCATCGTTCATTTATTACTGTGTGTGAGTGTGTGTGTATGTGTGTCAATGATTGAAATTGATTGAAATCAATCAACCAAAAATTGCATAATTTGAAACTTTTCATTTTTTATCAAAAAAATTTATAGGGTTTTGAAAACCATTCAACAGGATTCTTTTAGTATAAAATTATGCGGAATTGGTTTGTCACTATGCAACTTTAACACTTCTTTTGATTGCATTCATTTTCAAGCAATTTTAATCACTGCTTCTTCTTTCATGTTTTTCACATTTTTTTTTTCATTCCACAAAGGGATTATAAACAACTTTTAATTTAAATTGTGTATTATTATTAATATTATATTATTATTATTATTTCTGCCAACTTGTAATGCACTTTAAATCTCATCACTACCAATGGCAATGTTCGATTTTTTTTTGTTTTGTTTATATTTTTTGTGTGATCATCACGCTAGATTTTTTGTTTATTAATTTAATAATTAATTATAGATTATGAACCAAGATGAAATTTAGTAGTACGCACGTCGAGGATTATTCTGTTGGATAAAAAGAAGACAATAATTTTAATCATTTCTAATGTCACGTAAAAGTAGCTCTACAAAAAATTATTGTAAGGAAATTCAAACCAATTTCGGGAATTAAAAACAGAATTTGATATTTTTTGTGGATAAATATCAATCATTTTAATGGAGATTCAACTTTTGGGTGTGTCACAAATAAAAAGGTAAAATTTCCTCACAGTCATGTCTAAAAACACAAATAAGAACAATCTAATACCTACCAAAGGATTTGGCCTAAATCTATAAGCAAGCATCATCCGTTTTCGATAAATTTCATATTCGTTATCATTTTCGTTTGGTGCCTCGACTTCATTTGCTCCCAAACCTTGAAGATTCTCGCGAGGTGCTGCTCTGTAATGAAAGTATATCGTTTTAGTCATTGTGCTCTAAACTTATTGATTAGCATTATGAATAATATTTGATGAAAAAAAAAAACTGGAAAAATGACTTGAAATTAATCCTAGGACTAAAAATACGATTTTTAAATAAATCCTAGAAATGTGTGCTTTGCTGCGACTTTAGAATATCTAAAAATAAGTTTTACACTTTAGCTTATCTTACTTTTGATGCTAGTTAGCGAATTATGAATACCTAAGGACTAGGTACAGCTTAGTTAAAGAGCATTTTTTTGTGAAATTCTTAACATTAAAGAAGTGTGACTAAGATCAAATAGAAGAATTGAAGAAAATCTAGATTAACAAAGTAATTTTGAAATAAATCAGAAGGTTCAAATAAATCTCAGGATTAAATATTCAAATCCCAGGATTAAAATAAATCTTAGGATCGTAAGCAGCAATGTTTAAGAATGATTCGTAATTAAAAGCATAGCTCACTTGTTAATTGGTTCCGTGATTCCGCTACCACTAACACCGAGTGACGTGCCTTCTCCTTTCCATCCTAATTTTTGTAACATTTGATACCCAATATTGTCCTCTTTCAATTTAAATTCTTTATAGTCAGACACGTCAGGAAGGCGTGAAGGATCTTTTTGAGCTTGATATTTTTCCATAAATTTTTTCAGTTCCTCTGCAATAAGCACACCAATTGATAATTAGTACAACAGTAAATTGAATAGGAATGTTAAGTTTACCTGGCGGTAAAAAGTCACCAATATGGTGCCGTCCCTGACATTGCTTGTTGAGTGCTTCCGCCCATTTCAATGTTGCTTCCATTTCTTGAGTGCGCATTTTATGCTCCCAAGTTCCACCATTTACGTCCTCGTCTGAGTCATATTCATACTTAAATTTACCGTTTTTTGCAAGTTGATCTATTTCTTGTCGCTTTCGCTGCATGTCTTGAAACAATAAATTAACTTTATAATGTTCCTCGGCTTTCTTCCAATCCTCTTCAGTTAAACTTGTGGTACCAAAGTTTTGTCGAGCATAATTTAATAGTGCAGGATCAGATCTAGTGACAGTTGCGAGCTTTAAAATTGATGTTGGTACTGGCGGTAAAATTGAGGAGCTTGTTACAGGCGGTGGCACAACGACAGTTTGAATTGTAGCAGGTCCTTCACTCCAACGACTCTTCTTTCTTTTTGGTGGACGTGACGATGATTCGGAAGTTTTATCGGAATTCGCATTTGATTGATCTAATTGCTGCTGCTGCTGTTTCTCAAGATGATTTTGTTCACATTGATCGCCACTTTTCTTGGAATTGCTTGACGATGTAGATGCTGCCGATGACATTTTATATTTACTATCATATCTTGGATCATCTTTTGACTCTGTATTATCATCCGATGAGTCTGTCGTTGATGCATCTTGCTGCTTTCTCGACCTCGAGTGAATTGCCTTTCTTTTAAGGTTTTTTAAATTTCTCTCCTTCATCGAATTCCACGTTTCCGTGTCGGAATTTGTCGATTCCGAATCATCATTTCGGATTGTTGTGACAGTTTTTGCTACTTTTTCCTGAGTACTATAAATTAAATTCCAAAAATGAACATAAAGTCAATAATTACTTATTGCTTCTTTTTTATCTAAAATGTCAACTCACGTTTGTTGGGAATAATGAAAGCCAAAAGTCTTTGGTCCTTGCAACATCATCGACGGTGCCTTTTTATAATCCTCGTATTGAAGCTCATCAAGTGGATCATATTTGTCACCGCGTCGACGCTCCATAACTTCTCGACGATACTCTAAATATTCTGTACAATTCTTATCAAATATAAACCTGAAATGGCAACAACAATTAAATTGGTAAAATAAAACACTTAATTGTGTTGGTTTTTCGAGGTTCCGTACGCATTTTAACAGTCAAATATTATCAGTGCCTTCACTTTGTCTGTGGTTCATAGAAAGTTGAATTTTTAACAAGTTTGAACAATAATTTATTGTAACGTTGACATAGCTAAAGCCTTAACTTAGTCCACTGACCACTAAAATGCGTCTTAGCCAGCGAGTACATCCAACACATTTCTTTTTTCGTTTCTCTAATAGAGCGCACGAAAGAGATGGAACAATGTAGAGAAAAAGTATACGTATAATTTTTTTTTCTTTTAGAAAATATATGAAGAAAAATGTATGCCTGTATACTACTCTGACTGGCTCAGTTCAATTAATTTTTCACTCTGTATGTCTCACCTTAATAATGGGTCCAATTCATCTTTATTGCATTTTATAACCAGATTCTCTTCATATCCATCGCCATTTGCCGACACAAGCTCTATGAGTTCAGCTCTTGACTTTGGTACTTTAATTTTTGATCCTTCAATGAGAGGAGGCATACAAATTTCGTCCAATTTAAAACTGCTCGGTTTGGGTATTAATGATAAGTCTATTTCACGGGGTGTTGGGATGTCGTTTAATTCAATCTGTTGCTGCTGTTGTGGCTGCTGATGATTATTATGATGCTTTTGTTCGAATTCTAGATGTGATAATGATGGAATGGCATTCAATTGAAGTGGCACAGTGTGTGATGACGATGATGATGCACTATAATGATTAATTTTTTGGACATTCATTAGCATAATTGCAGTACGTAAAATAATACTAAGTAGATAATGACGAGTAATGATGGTAGCAACGATTAATAAAGAATTTAGTATTTGCAGTCACTCTCTCTTATTTTTTGTGGATCACTAAATATATCACTAATACATATAATGTAGACTCACTTTATTTCTATAAAAATATCATCATAATTAGATATCAAGAAAATGTTAATTTTTCATACAACACTATCCACATCATAATATACTTATAGAAATGAATTTGCATTTTAAGCCATACGCTAGACTTGTTCATTTTTCATCACAATTTTTCTTTTAAAAATTATAAATTGATATTTTTTGTGTTCTGTCTGTTGGATTATCTGTGTGTATAGTTAATATTTACCTTATTTCATTTGTACTACTACTTGACGATCCTGTTAAACGCTTGAAATTTTCAAGAAAACTACCATCATTGGGCAACAATTCACTGATTGATAAAGAGAATAAGATAAGGGAATAGGATGATAATGATTAGTTTCTAAATGACTAAATGCGTTTTCTTTTCTCATGATTACTTAATCGTGGAAGGAACAGAATAGCTTCAAAAGAATGCGACGAACGGAAAAAAAATCATTACAATATTATTTGAGATAGAATCGTCCATTTTTTCTTTTCGTCAAATAATAATTTCTTGATTTTCATCACTTGCTCGTCACTCTTATGGCTTTACTCGATACTACTATGCTTACATACATCCTCTATTTTACGTCTAATGCCTTTAATTACCTCCTATTCGTTTGTGATTTGTATTTTTCCAACAATTCTTTTGCCTGAATTTTTTTTGAAATTAAAATATTTTTTTGCTCAATAAATGACTGCTGTTTTATAAGCTCTGTTTTACGCTGCTCCGACCTCGAATTTCTGGACATTTTTTTTAAAACAACACTTCTGTAGATATTTTGCTCTTTTTCCTAAATCATTTTTCTTTTCTATTAACTCAGAATCTAAAGTTGAACTTTCAAATTATAAAAAAAAATTCTTGACGTTCTTGTGAAGTATTTGATTTTTTACAAGGGATTATTTTCTCTCGCATTCAAATAATTCGCAACCGTTGGGCTGTTTCGTGATCGTTGCATGCAATCAAGCATGACTTTTAAAATGATCAGAAATGTGAAGCTAAGATTGCTATCTAGTCAGCTAAAGCATGTTCCTCGAAAAATTCAAACAGTCATCGTTCAAGAGCTAACCACCTTAATGGATATGATTAGTGTATATAAACTGCATACACTCAAGATTAATACACACAGGTCTTATTCAAATAAACCAGAAATAGTCAGGCAGTCTGAGTTGGTGCAAGCTTTAAATTCGCTTCATTCGCTGAAAATCAGCTTCATAGATGAAATTTTAACAAATAACTTCCAAAAAGTCAACATTAATTTAGAGAAGTTATCCACACTATCCTCAGTTATCCACATCTTTGATTTCAAATCGCTTAAGTTTTTGGACTTATCATGGAATTTAGACATGAAAAGCTGTAAAGCTTCAGCACTAAAATTTCTGAGTCAACAAAATAATCTCAAAGAATTTGGTTTGTGGGAAAGTAATGGCGAAGATTTCTTCAAATTACTCAATTTCATGAATATTGAAACTAAATTCAGTTTAGAGAAATTTTCTTTCCATAATTATGAATTTACACATCATGAAGCTTTAATAAAGTTTTTGAATAACCAAAAAACTACATTGAAATCATTGAAACTTGATTTAATCACCATTACGATACAGTCAATTGAGCAGATGCAAAAGTATGCCCTTGAAAATTTGACAGAATTAAAGGAATTGGATTTATTCATGCATGTTGCTGACAATGTGGAAGGAAATTATAATGAGCCATTCGAAAACGATGAACCAAGATTCCCAAATCAAATAACAAATAAATTAGAATATTTGGGATATAGAAGATTGCATCGTACTCTTGATGAAGATAAGAACTTTATTGACAAATTTGGAAACCTTAAAATATTGAATCTTCAAACGTCCTATGATAAGGATTGTGATCTTCTCAATTACATAAGTATTACAAAAATTGGATTGGAATCACTGCAACTTGACATGTTTCTTCTAGACTTTATAGATTGGCCGAGAGTTTATTTCCCAAATCTTAAGAAATTAAGTTTAAATGACTATGATGGTGATTACTTTCATATGAAAAGTATAAATGATGAAGTTTTCAGTTCCTTTATCGCAAAACACTGCAAGACATTAGAAGAAATAAGCATTCGGGAATTGCAAATTTCTCAAATGACAATCGATGCACTTGCTAGCTGTAAAAAATTAAGCTATCTTGAACTTGCTCGTACAGTCAAATGGATACAGGGAGAAGCCATGTCATTACCTATACTTTGGTCCATAATCAAAATGCTGAAATATTTGCCACACAAATATTCTAGATTAACATTAAAGATTGCATCGAATACATTTTACTTTCCTGGTGATTTGATGTTTTGGAACCAACTTTTCCCTACAAATCTGTTTAAAATTAAAATTGGAAATCTAAACTCTCCCAATTTTTATGTTTGATTTTCTTTGATTTATTTCTCTTTTAATTATCATAATGTCTCTTATTTCTGCTTCTCATCAATAAAGCTTTTAATCAGGATTAGCTAGCACTTCGTTTCTTAATTTCATTAATTCATGATCTTCATCAGAACTCCCAGAATCAGCCATAACAATTTTTCTCTTCTTTTTCTGTTCTCCAAAATTATGTTTTAATTTACGCTTCCTGCGCTTCTCTTTTAACATATTTTCTGCCAATTCCAATTCATCAAACTCTGATTCAACAGATTCAACCTCACCATCCACAATAAATGAGCCCAAACTGTCATCACTGTCTTCAAATGTTTCTTCGTCATGTGGCATTTGTGAATAAATATCACTTAAATTAGCAGGTTGCAATTGCTTTAACACAAAACGACCATTCCTAGCTGTAGACGGTGATTGAAGACTTTTAAGATATCTAGCGTGCATCATTGTATCATCATGTGCGACAGTATCATTACAAACAAATTCATTAAGTGATGTATCATTATCTTCTGGCTCGTCTGATGATGCATAATGATCATCAACAACTGCTTGTGTTTGTAGGAACTTGCTATGTGGTAATCTTTTCTTTCGAAGATTTTTTCGTCGCACAGCCGGACTTTTGAAATTAGATTTGATTGCTTCTAATTGATCAGCCATTGATCGAGATGTAATTGGACTTGAATTTTGTGTTCTTTGGTAGAATGATGACTTGTTGCTTATTTCTGGTGTACTTTCATCAGATCTAATTGTTATTTCCTGATTTGGCGGTGTCGAGAATCTCATTTGAGTGAAAACATTTTGTGTTTGAACTTGTGATGTTGAAGGTGATCGATTATCTTGTGTCCTAGCTGTAAGTATGCCATTACTTTGCATTGAGCTCATTAGTTTAGATAAATTAGGTTTAGAATTAGTTTTTTTCAGGTACGAATCATCATGGCTGGTCGATGGCTGCATCAAATTTTCCTTTTGTGAACTTTCTATTACTTCTGGATATTCTTCATCACTAAATTCTATTTTATGTGGAACTAAACGACTTTCATGAATTAGTCGATTGCTTTCTTCAATTTTTGCTATTTCTTCGTCCACATCGTAGACTTGTGTGTTGTCACTTCCAATCGAAACAATTTCATCGTTATTGAAAATATTTTTTTCTATATCTTTTAAAGACTTTTCTTCATTGGACGAGTCAAAAAGGTCATTGATATTTTTTATATTAAACTTTTTAAGGATATTGTCTGTAGCTGACTCATTTACTGAACAATCAATAACTTCATCCTTAATTGGTGACTTTTGAAGCTTTTCTGTAAATTTTGAAGTACTTTGGACAGGTTCTGACCATTTTGAAATATTATTGTAGTCAAAATATGAATCACATCCTTCAAAAATATCTTCAATTGACATGATTCCAAGGAAATCAAACTTCCTTTTAATTTCTTCATTACCGTCGAGATGAGAAATTTTGGACACATTTTGTACAGCAGTTTTACTGACATCCTTTTGAGGTTGTAGAAATTTGGCTAAATTGTTTTGATCTTTGACTTTATTTAAATCTGACGATTGTCGAATTAATGGACTAATTGGCAATGGCGAAAATTTGGTTTGTTCCAATGGAAAATTCTGCAAAGGTTTTGGTGAAAACTTATTCAGTTCCGAAGACAAATTGGATATTCTTGGTGAGAAATGTCTGGTTATTATTGGCGTAGATGAGTTTCTAAGATCACCGAATTTAATTGGAAGTGGCGAATTAAAATTGAATTGTTGAGTTTTTGGTTCCGGACTTTTTTCTGGAGATTTTAAAATGTCATTTGATTCATTGAACTTTGATGTCACAGGCATAAATTTTCTCTTTTTTGGCTTTAAACGTTCATTTCGTTCTATAATCTTTTGGTCTGTATTTTCAACAGGTTCCACTAATGATAAGTCAATATCTCCAGGTTCAAGTTCAAAATTTTCAGTCTTTTTGGTCGCAGGTTCATTTAAAAATGATATTAAATTCATAAACGTATTCATTTCTTTTTCAGCATGTAGATCTATTAAGTTTTTGAGATAAATTCGTTCCTTAATTCCATTAATTTCTATCAACTCATTAACACTTGATTTATATTTGTCCAATACTTCATTGAAATTTATATCTCTGTTAACAAGTTTCAAAGGATCATCTAATATATTAGCAGGTTCAATAGCTTCACCTAAATCAATAACATCTAATTTTTCAATATCATTAATTATTGGAACTTCATCGACTTCCATTATCTCATCATTTGTTCCCAAGCTTTTCTTTGATCTCTTACTAATTGGTTTTAAATAGTTTGTGATCGATTCCTTAGAACTTTTTGGTTCAACATTATTTTTCTTTCCAACTTTTCTTGTCGACTTTCTTCCTTTTGACTTATTTTTAACAATTTCCTCTTCTTCTACATCCTCAATTGGTATTATAAACTTCATTTCGATACATTTTGGATTAAAATCTTTTGGAAATAGCTTAGGTCCTTTATAATAATACTTGGTTATCTCATTATTCATATTTCGGGACATACTTTTGTTCATTTGATCTTTTGAATGCAGCAAGTCTCTTGAAATTGCTAGTTCCTTTCCTTCTGTGGCGAGAACTATAACATTTCCTTGTCTCTTTCGAGCTGTTCTTCCGATTCTTTGAACAAATCTAACAGCGCTCTATTTAGAATAAAAATTTTACTGGTTATTTAATATTTAAATTTTAACGGTTATTGAATTTTTAAATTTCTAAAGTTCAATTTTTGAACCAGGTTATTTATTTTTCGAAATTCAAATTTTAAAGGACAGTTAAAAACACAAACTTTATACATACCTTAGAATTGATGTCAAAGCAGATGACTAGATCAACATCTCCAATATCTAAGCCTTCTTCAGCGACACAAGTACATACTAAAGTGTTTGTCTTACCTTCACGAAAATTTTTCATAATTTGCATCTGATCTTTTTGTCTCAAAGAGCCTCCTTGTCCAATTAAGGCACTTGGCATGACTTGAGGCCGAAGTTGAAGTAATAAAACGTATATTAAATGTGTGGTATCTCGATATTCACAGAAAATGATTGCTTTAGTTCCATTATTATCAAAATATTCCTTTAACTTAGTTTTCAGGATATCAAACTTGGGATGGCCAAAATCTACGTTGTCTGGATAGTCAGGAACTCTTCCGTTTGGCATTGGATGTATATTTATTTTAAATGGACTAACCGGATCGTATTTTTCTTCAAGTTCCTTGACATAATTTGTCATTTTAAAATCTCTTGCTATAAAGAACTTGAAATTCTTCTTATCATCATCATCTCTCAGAGTCTTTAGGAACAAATGGACACTATGTCGTTGCAGAATTTCTAAGGCATGATAAAATCCAATTGCAGCTGAGAAATTTCCAAATGCTATTGATTTTTGATTATTCAATATTGTACGATTTTCTCCAAGATTCTTTCTTTGCATGATTAGGTATCCTTTTGAAATTTGATTGGTCTGAATTAAACCAAGTTTTCTAAGTTCCAATATGATTGGATCCACAACTTTTAAGAAAGTATCATAAATTTCTTGGATGTCAGCAGAAAGCTTGACTGGAACTATATCAATTAATTTCTTATGTGTATATCTGTGCACATCAATTGAACCTTCTGATCGATGCTCAATTTTTGAGATTAATAAATTCTGAATAATTTGTATCACATCAGCAGTTTTACCTGCTGTAGCAGTTAGTGCCAATACTCGAAATTTGTTATTCACTCGATAAATTGCTTCAATGACTTTACAATAAGCATAATCGCCTTTTGCTTTATGAGCCTCATCAAAAACTAGTAATCTAATGGATGTGGATGGAAATAATCCTTCCTTTAAATCTGACTGAATGACTTGAGGCGTAGCAAAGAAAACTCTTTTTGTGTCCCAATTTTCCTTGCGTTTCTTCTTACTTTTTGTTAATCCTGTCATTTCTGCTGTCTCGGTTTTCGGAATTCCAACTACATCATAACAAGCAGACATTTGTTGATGCACAAGAGGTCTTGTTGGTGCCTGTAATCATGAATTTAATTAATAATTTTACAATTTTATTATGCTTGGATATAATTACCATAAAAACTATCTTTGATTGTGGAAACCATCGCAGGAAATTGTAAATTACTACTGATGCTATAAAGGTTTTTCCGAGTCCGGTCGGAAGTAATACTAATGTATTGTTAAATAATGCTGATTTACTTATATTAAGCTGATAATCTCGTTTCTCAAATCCTTTAACTGGAAATAACCAGCTGTCTTTTGCATTTTCATCTAATTCATTAAGCATTGACGATGATACATCTAAGGATTGATTGATTCCTGACTGATTTGGTGTAACATCAAGATCCAGTTGACTAAAAATATGACGAGATTAATGAAAATTGTTCAATGTTGTGAAATTCGTTCCTTAAAACTTACCCAAGCCATGAAACTTCATCTTCTTCATTTATGTCAGCACAAAAAGCAGATATATCATCTAATTCCTGCTGTATATCGGCTTCCGTATAAACAGACATGATAAGGAGGGAATAAACAAACTGAAATGAAACGAACTTTTCGGTTACTGAACATTTTTCAAGTTTGTGTGTAACGCTTTGGTTCATTTTGAAATTCTCAACTGTTAAAGGACGTTAAAAGTGACATGCCTTGGATCTAATACTGTATACCTATCAAATACCTATGCACAATCTCTGATATTCAGAATTTTTGAAATAAATCTCAAAAACCATTGAGATTTATTTTAATCACAATTTTCCTCAGTTTTTCTTCGATTGTTGAAGATACAAGAAGTGTTTTAAAATTTTTCCAAGATCATCTGTGATATTTCAACAGTATTGGATCTTAAATAAGTGACAGGTTTCAAAGTGTTTCTTCAACACAGAGAAAATGTGCGATAAGTTTTAAATTTTTAATTAAAATTAAAGTGATGTGAAAGAATCTTGATATATCAGTGAAAATAAAAACTCAAGGAAGACACTAAGGAAAAAGCTAAGTTTATTAAAATATCAAATTTGTCTAATTCTTATAAGTGTTATTATCTCATTTTTAGAGTGGAGTGGATCTTAACAACTTGTTTTGTATATACACCAATACTCTGCAGATTTCATAAATTATCAATTCTAGAGCTCAAATATAACAAAGCAAAATCAGAAGAGAATACTAGAAAAAATTATTTTAAATTTAAAATATTTCAACATACTTTTGTATAATTCAACTTCTGAGTTTCAGTATATCTTTTTAAGTTCTTCAATCAATACTTCAAATCCTTTAATTCAACTTCAATAAACACTTTTGAAATGCAGGGTTCAAAGGATCAACGAAAGATCATTACAACTGAAAGAGAATCAAGTTGACAAATTTTCAACGATTTTTTTTATCACGCAGTAAAGTCCTAAGGACTACGATTTTGTGTTGAATGCAAAAATTATTATTTTAATTATTACAAAGTCGAGACCCAGGTGTGGGGACTGCAACAATCGTGCAGGAAAGAACTGAATGAAGTTATTGAAATGCAGTTTATTATTATTATTTATTGCTCTCGTTTTTCTTTCCTTTCACACAGAGGAAAAGCCTCCTTAAACAGTACTTAAACTATTTAAAGCGGCATAAAAACCTCTGCATTAACATACAATAAAATAAAATATAAAAGAAGTTTCAATGTAACAAGTACCTTTGAGAAACTTAAAAATTAAACATACAGATATTAACGGTCATTCTTAATTTGAAAAATATGAATTTAACTTACACAAACAAAACATTTCGTAAATATGAAAATTTGATCATCTCAGAAATAAAAGTGTAAGAAATAAATAAATAAAGTGAGTTAAAACTATGTAAATCAGTAAAAAGGAGCAAAAAATAGCAAAGTTATTAGAAAAAATAGTAAAGCAGTAAAATGCAGTAAAAAGCAGTAAATAGTAGCAAAAAGAAGCAAGAGTAGGAAAATAGCAGTAAAAACAGGAAAAAGCAGCAAAAGAGTAGTTGGAACAGTTTAAAAGAAGCAAAAATTTAAATTATCACCAGGGATTTGTAATTTTAAAGTGAGAAATTTCTTTATCATTATTTAACAATTTGAAGAAGTTTATCAATACTTTTATGTCACTTGCCAATCAGCTGATTCTCTTATATTTGAAGTTACTTCCGGTGTCCCTCAAGGTTCACTTATTGCTCCACATCTGTTCAATCTGTTCCTAAATGATGTTCCAATCCCTCGGAAAGGTCATTTGTCTCTTTATGCAGATGACACTGCATATTCTGTTCAGATGGCATGAAAAAATCTGAAAGCAATTAAGCTTGAACTTGTCAAAACTGTAGGTTCCTTGCAAACTTACTTTCAGGATTGGAAAATTCAAATCAATGATTCTAAAACCGAATTTATTATGTTTTCCAAATCCACAAAAATGATCGAGAAAACCGAACATGATTCTATTAGCTTCAATGGTCAATTGTTTTCTTGGAAAGAGGCAGTGAAGTATCTTGGTGTTGTTCTGGATAGGAAACTATCCTTTAAACAGCATATTGCCTCAGCGATAAACAAAGCAAGTGCTGCAAGTTTCTCGAGTCTCTATTGCTTATTGAGTAGGAACTCTGTTGCCTCTACAGACTCTAAACTTAGAATTTATAAATCTTATATCAGAGCAATTTTAACATATGGCTGTCCAATTTTCTCGAATTCTGCTGCTTGTCATTTGAATAAGCTGCAATTATTCCAAAATAAAATTCTAAGAATGATCCATGGTGTTCACTGGTCTGACTTCATATCAAACGATATGCTACATGATGAATGTAGATATCGTTGTAAGTAAGGTGATTAAGTCCTTTTGGGCTTGTAGATCTATTGTTGGTAAAAACTGGGGATTAAAACCCAATATGATGTATTGGCTGTATGAGCAAGTTATTCTACCAAGAATTATGTATGGATGTGTTGTTTGGTGGCATAAAATGAAACAAGTTTTTGCCTCTCAGAAAATTGAGAAACTGCAAAGAATAGCAGAATTATCAATTTGCGGTGCTTGGAAAACTACTCCAAAACTTGCTTAGGATAGATTCTTGAGCTTCCTCCACTTCGAGTGAGAATCGAAGCTGCAGCTCAAACAAGTGCATCCAAATTGAAGGTTAATAAATTATGGGTTAATGACTGGATTTCTACAGGTCATATGGAATTAAATCGATTTCTAAGGAGTGTAAGTTTATTTACCTTAGAATTGGATCATATAGTGTCAAATTACGTTTTTGACAAACCTTTTAAGGTAGTTGGATCAGAAGATAATGCTGCTGAATCTTGTGATTTGGTGGATAGTAATTGTATGTCTGTATACACTGATGCATCAAAGTCAGAAAGTGGTGTTGGCATCGGTCTGTTCAGCAATGAGCTGTGTTTGAATTCATCCTATAAACTGCAGGATCATGCTTCTGTCTTTCAGGCAGAAGTTCAAGCTATTTGTGAGGGTGCTAATTACTGTTTGGATATTGATTCGAAAGGCTGTAGAATTTGCTTTCTTTCAGATTGTCGATCAGAAACAATTGTGTTGTGAAGTCTTTAACAGTTCTTGATTGTATTTCTTGTTTAACAGCATTGGGGCAAGATAATGAAGTCATCCTAAAATGGATACCTGGACACAGTGGTATTGAAGGTAATGAAACAGCTGATCAATTAGCTAAAGAAGCGGTACACAAAGAAGCTTATGACAAGTCGACATACTATGGGTTTGGCTTGTTGAAGTTAGACATACGAGAATGGATGGAGACAGCATTTTCGTATCTGGAATTTATAGGAAGGTGTCATGACAGCCAAAAGACTTCTTGGTACTAAAAATAAGAATAAAATATCGGATGCTCTCAGACTACCAAGGAAAGATCTTAGCATCTTAATTGGTGCTTTGACAGGACACATGAGTATCGATAGTTTTCTTTTTAAATTGAATTTGTCTAACAGTAAAATTTGCAGGTTTTGTAATGTAAATGAAGAAACAATCATTCATATACTTTGTAAATGTAGGTCATTACGAGGACAACGTGTCAAGCATTTTGATGAGGACTATTTGAATGATGAGGATATAAATAAGCAGCATTATCAAGACATTATTGGCTTCATTAAGGACATCGGAATTCTAACATAGGGGACTTGGGATGGTACAACAGATCATCGATCGCAGTGCCGCTTTTGCTATTAGCAAAACCCTACATTACATTCTATTCTTCTGCTACATGATTCATCAAATCTTCCTTCAATTAATAACTTTATTAATAATATCACCAATAATTTCTATGGCAAAATTTCACACCATCCAAACGATCTCATCTCTTCTCTTGGTCAATATAATTACGATTCTCTGAGCTTTAGAGTTAAACATAGATTACCAAGAGCTCGTAATTGATGTAAATGCCGGTAAATGCATTCTTTTTAGCGCATTTTTGAAACTTGTTTCAAAAAGGTAGCTTAATAACGCACTTTGGTCGGCTGGTCGGCTGGTCGGCTGGCTGGTCGGCTGCTAAGAAAAACTTTTAATCTAGACATCGTAGAGAGTTCTAGTTTTTTGCATTAGTTCCGTTATATCGAGTTATTGGCCCGCCGGACATTTAAAAATCTTAAAACAGTGTATTTATGCTATAATTAATGAATTTTTGTTTTGTTTTCAGTGTAAACTGCTCAAATTTTATTTTACCTCTATAATTTCAATATTACCTCTATAATTTCAAAAAATTTCTAGCCGTTGTAAAATTTGAATTTCAAAAAACCGTTAAATGATAAACTTTTTTTGTATGGAAATTCATTGGAACAAATTATTTAATTATACTATAATTATTATTTCGTAGTGCAACTTATAGCGGGAAAATTTCAAACTATTTATTGACCGTTAGAAAATTTGAATTACAAAAAAATGTTAAATGATAAACCCTTTCTGTATGAAAATTCATTGCAACAAATTATTTAATTATACTATAATTAATTTTTTCGTAGTGCAACTTATAGCGGGAAAATTTCAAATTATTATTATATTGACCGTTAGAAAATTTGAATTACAAGAAACCGTTAAATGATAAACTCTTTCTGTATGGAAATTCATTGCAACAAATTGTTTAATTATACTATAATTAATTTTTTCGTAGTGCAACTTTTAACGGCAAAATTTCAAATTATTTACTGACCGTTAGAAAATTTGAATTACAAAAAATCGTTAAATGATAAATCCTTTCTGTATGGAAATTCATTGCAACAAATTATTTAATTATACTATAATTAATTTTTTCGTAGTGCAACTTATAGCGGGAAAATTTCAAATTATTTATTGACCGTTAGAAAATTTGAATTACAAAAAACCGTTAAATGATAAACCCTTTCTGTATGGAAATTCATTGCAACAAATTGTTTAATTATACTATAATTAATTTTTTCGTAGTGCAACTTTTAACGGCAAAATTTCAAATTATTTACTGACCGTTAGAAAATTTGAATTACAAAAAATCGTTAAATGATAAATCCTTTCTGTATGGAAATTCATTGCAACAAATTATTTAATTATACTATAATTAATTTTTTCGTAGTGCAACTTATAGCGGGAAAATTTCAAATTATTTACTGACCGTTAGAAAATTTGAATTACAAAAAATCGTTAAATGATAAATCCTTTCTGTATGGAAATTCATTGCAACAAATTATTTAATTATACTATAATTAATTTTTTCGTAGTGCAACTTATAGCGGGAAAATTTCAAATTATTTACTGACCGTTAGAAAATTTGAATTAAAAAAAACCGTTAAATGATAAATCCTTTCTGTATGGAAATTCATTGCAACAAATTATTTAATTATACTATAATTAATTTTTTCGTAGTGCAACTTATAGCGGGAAAATTTCAAATTATTTATTGACCTTTAGAAAATTTGAATTACAAAAAAACCGTTAAATGATAAACCCTTTCTGTATGGAAATTTATTGCAACAAATTGTTTAATTATACTATAATTAATATTTTCGTAGTGCAACTTTTAACGGCAAAATTTCAAATTATTTATTGACCGTTAAATAATAATCCTTTCTATATAAGCATTCATTGTAACTTTTTGTTAATTACACTAAAATTAATGATCTTCTAATCTTCTCATGATCTGTAAATGAACGCAAAATAATTACATAATCAAATACTGATCGCTAACACAAAAATGCGCTTAAGTCCCTCGATCAATAACACGAGGACTTCTGTAATTTTTTAATTATTCATTTTCTCTTCTTTTTAAACTTTTCTATTTTTCTAAAAAAAACTTTTTGGCTTTTTTAACTATTTTTTTGCTTTAAGTGTAAAAAAGAGTAACAAAGAGTAGTAAAGAAATTACGACCTAGTAAAAATGAGTAGCGAGAGTTGCAAAAAACAGCAAAGAGAATAGGAAAAGTAGCAAATGCGTAGAAAAAAGTGTGTGAGAGTAGAGTCCCCACACCTGGGTCGAGACTTTATTTGTTGATTTTAAAATACATAAACATATCAATATTTTATGCTTAATTTCTTCGCTTTCTAACACGACTTATTCTCCATGAGTTTGCTTCCTCATATTTATTGTAAAGTGGTTCTAGTCGTTGATTCTTCTTGAATTTACTTAATTTTGTAGGATCTGAGAATTTGAAGAATGATGGTGCAAATTCCACAAGCCATTTTGGATCAATTGTTGTCACTTCTCGCATGTATTCCTTTGTAGTTTGAACCAATTCATGATAAACAACCCTGTAAGTAAAAATAAAATTGTTAACTGTAGAATTGGAAAGTATTAAGTAATTTTAATCATACCATTCAGGTTGTCGATGGAACAGGGCACTCGATGGATGAATATAAACGACTTGAGCATCGACTAATGTTCTGTAGCCCTCTTGTGGATCCTTCTTGGCTGCATTTCTAAAGAAACCTGAACAAATTGTTTTTTGAACTCTCACAGAATTTTTGCCAGCTGACACAACGTCCAACTTATGTCTGTCCATAATTCCAAGCAATTGTTTTCGAACATCTTGTGCTCTTTTTAATGTTCTGACTTGAACAAAATTTTCATAACACCAAGCATTTGAAAATTTGTTATTTTTCCAGCTATTATATACAGCCAAGAGTGTCAAATGATCTCCTTCAATTTGATTGAACTTTGCCTTCTTTTGATCAGCAAGAGCTTGCTTATCTTTTGGTCTATAAAAGACATTTTGAACGCTGAGCATTGAAACAATTGTAAGAATTTCATCGGAACATTGAAGAGCAACGGACATAATGAGCATTTTTGATAAATTCGGTTCCAATGGAAACTCAGCCATTCTTCTACCAAGTCTTGTCAATAATCCTTCATCATCAAGGGCACTCAATGAATGTAGCTGTTCTAAAGCCATTACAAGTGATTCAACAGGTGGTGCATCCATAAAATCAAAATGAAGTAAATCATTAATTCCCATCGTTTTTAATTGCAAAACAGTTGTGGCCAAGTTTGTTCTTTGAATTTCAGGAACTGGCGTTGGCATCATTTCATCTCGATAAGCTCGTTCTGTATATAACCTATAAGCTTTTCCGGGACCAGTTCTTCCTGCTCTACCAGCTCGTTGTTTTGCTGCTGCTTGAGAAATTGGTGTGACTATCAAAGCATCCATTCCAGTCTTTGAATTGTATACTTTTTGCTTGACAAATCCAGGATCAACAACATAATAAATTCCATCAATAGTCAACGATGTTTCAGCAATATTTGTAGCTATAACAACTTTACGACATCCTGGTGGTGCTGGATCAAAGATTCTTGTCTGCATTTCTGATGGAAGTGCTGAATAAACTGGTAAAATGATGAGTTCTGGAACTTCAGGACCTAATGATTTCATTCTTTCATAAAGTATCTCACATGCTGTATCAATCTCTTCTTGACCAGTTAAAAATAGCAAAACATCACCAGAAGGTTCACGTAAATGAATTTGCATGACTGTAATTAATGAAGCATCAAGATAATCATTTTCTGGTTCTTTTGTATACAATATTTCAACTGGAAACGTTCGTCCAGGAATTGTAAAGATTGGTGCCTCAAAGAAATATTGAGAGAATTTGACAGCATCAAGTGTAGCTGATGTGACAATTAATTTTAATTCAGGACGTTTCTTAACTGCTTGTTTTAATAATCCAAATAAGACATCAGTATGAATTGTTCTTTCGTGAGCTTCGTCCAACATAATAACTGAATATGATTTAAGATCAAAGTCCACAAGACATTCTCTCAACATCATACCGTCTGTCATGTATTTTATAGCTGTTTCAGGTGATGTACAATCTTCAAAACGAATAGTATAACCAACCTCTTGACCTAATCGACAACCATATTCTTCTGAAACTCTTTTAGCTACGGACATTGCTGCAACACGACGTGGTTGTGTACATCCAATTCGTCCGCGACTTATAAATCCAGCTTCAGCAAGATATTGAGTAATTTGAGTTGTTTTTCCACTTCCAGTCTCTCCAATAACAATTAAAATTTGATTATCGGATACAGCTTTAATAAGATCATCACGGAGCTTATAAATAGGCAACGACTGTCGTTGTTCAACTATTGTCATGTCTGTTTTTCGTCCATAAGATGCTTTTTTGCCACCAATGACATGTTTCTTCCATTCAGGAATGTCTTGTGGTGCTAAACTAAATTTAGCTGTTTCTGCTTTATCTTCTTCGACTACGTCCATCGGATCCATCCAATCTTTACCAAAAGTAGGCTTTGATTCAGCTTCTTGTTCGCGTGCCAACATTTTTTGTTCACGACGTTCTTTTTGAAGTGCTGACTGCATCATAGCTGCTTGTGCAAGTGAACCATCAGGATTTTTAATGATTCTAACTGGCGATAAGTCATGTAAAGCACGACCATGACCTTGTAAAAATGGTGGTTCATCCTCAACAATTTCAATTTCAATATCCTCTTCGTCTTCACCTTCTTTTGCTAATAATCCTGCCTCTTCGTCAAAATCAGGCATTTCACTACGATCAATAACACCAGACGATATCATTTGTTTAATTTCCCATCTTTCTGGACTTGATATTCTCGTTACACGCTTCCTGGCTACATCATCATCATCATCAACATTTCCAGGCAATGAAAGCATTGACATTGGAGCAACTGGTCTGTCTGGATTTCTAGCACTAACATCATCTTCCATTGGTTTATGTGATAATGGATTTAAATCACGTCCTGTAAGTTGATCAGCTTCTTTCATTGATAATGAAACTTTTTGTCCTGTTATTGACATGACTTTTACTTTTACATTATTTCCACGACTTACAACTTCATTGACATCAGATACTCGTCCTTCTGATCTTAATTGTGAGATGTGAACAAGTCCTTCCCACTTTTTTCGTAATCCAAAAAGTTGTACAAAACATCCAAAACTTACGATATTTGCAACTTTACCATCATAAATCTTTCCCAATTCTGGATCATCTTTAATCTCAACTCGTTTCTTTTCTTCTTTGGATCTACTTCTGTTGTGTCTATTTCTGTCTTTTGAACGTGATCTCCTCCTTTTTCTATCGACTGATCGTGATCTTGATCGTCTTTTCCTATCTCGTGAACGACTACGCTTCTTATCCCTTGATCTACTTCGCTTTTTAACATTTCTATCTCTGGATCTTGAGCGTTTTCGATCTCTTGATCGTTTTCGAGGGCTTCTGGATCTTTTTCGTGGACTTCTGGATTTTTTTCTTGGACTAATCGATCTTTTTCTTTCACGAGAAGTTTTTCTTTTCTTTACAATCACTTCCTTTTTATCGTCATTTGGCTTATTTGATGATGTTGTTGGTGCCATTGCTTCCAATTCAGCCATCATATCGTCAACAGTTGATTCGTCATTTTTAGGCTTTTTTTCATCCTCATCATTATCAATGTCATTGTTTGGGATCGCAAGACCTGGAAATTTATAAGCAAGTACATCCTTTTCTGATGATTTTTCTGTAAGTGCTGGTTGGTTTGATTTATTTTTTAATGCCGGTTTCATCAGGCATATGATTCGCATAAGATTTGATGTGAATGAATCACTGAATTCTGCTCCATTTTGAACTAGTGCTTTCCGGAAATCCTCAATATTTGGGTTTTGTTCGGCAAGATGAATAATAAATTCAGCTGTAAAAATCAATGATTTTAAAACGTTTTCAATACTTTTAATATTTTTCTGCTTACCCAAGTCCTTATCATTGATAGACAAGTGATTCTCTAATTCTGTGCATATCTTAGAAACTAATGAAAGATGTTCTAGCTGTTCTAACTCATCCATAACGTCTATAATTAATTAATTACACTATTTTATGAAATTTTATTTGAAATTTTGTTTTGTTTTGATTTCCAAAATTATTGTTTAAGATTTTTGAATTTTAAAAGTTCGTTAAAAAGACTTTGACGGGTACATCTACTAGTTATTTTGTTTTGAAATTTAATTCACAGAATATTCTTATTTTCTCGTTAAATAATTAATTGAATGTTTAAGAAATAGACTAATGTGACAGAAAGAAGTTAAGAATTAATAACTAGTGTAGTCGTTTACAAATTATGCCAAGAATTGTTGACGAAAAGGGAAAACAGACGAAACTTTCCAATTTTTTTAGCGCGCGAATTAAAAATGATGATCCTGAAGTTACTATCATTAATTCTGACGTAAATATCATTAAAACTAAGCCCCCAAATCCATTCAAATTGCGTAAATCCGTAAGTTTACATTTTTAACAATTAATTAAGTCATTAATCACATCCTTTATTAGGTAACAAATACAGCAATAGACATTTCATCTGATGATGACAAAACTCCAAAGAAGGATAAGAATCATATAAATAGCAATGATATTAAAGAGAATCTAGTTAAACTATCAAATGAAATGGATGACAAGAAGCCATTAACTTCGAAATTTATTTTCAAGATAAAATCCAATTTAAATTCACCAAGTACGCAACCTATAAAAGATCCTGCCAGTTCCAACACTGCAAAAAGTACAGTTGATTTGACAAAAACCCAAAGCATATCAAGGAACATCTTGAAGCCTAAGGAACTTCATGAGAAAGCAAAAACTCAGTTTTCTTATATTGATGATGATAGTTTGGATGATATTCTGCCATTGTCGAAAAAGGAACCAAATGAAATCAAGCCACAGCCATTATTTAAAATAAATTCAAAGCCAGCTAAAACAGTACTCAAACCAAGTTCTACATCATTTAATTTAAAGCCACAAACCACATCAACACAAATTGTTGAAAAGACATTTCAAGATGAACGTGACAAACATGTTTTCATCCCAAAAGCGCAAAATGTTATAAAACCACAAGCTACATCAACACAAAAATTTACTGACTATATTGATGAAATTAATAAGTCACTTTCCAGTAGCTCTGAAAATAATTCTACAAATGAACTTCCAGCATCGCCATCATCCAGTAAATTTACTTTTAGAAAGTCGAGAGCCAGTTTACCAAATCAGTCTTCCTCAGAAAATAACAGCCAGGAAAGTGCAGTAGGAAGGAAAACCAGTCAGGAAAGTCTTAAATTTATTGATCAGCTTTCATCAGCTATTACTTCTCTTAAGGAAAATGGCTCACCGATTAAAATTAACAAAGTAAAGGAAGAGTTTGTCGACTTAAATACCTCAACACCAGAAATAAAAGCAGTCAGCAAATTAAATTTTTGCAAGGATGTCATAAAACTGCCTGAAAGTCCTACTAGCAAAGTGACAATTTCGAAATTAAATTTAAAAGTTGAAGCGGATGAAATAATTTCGGAAATAGACACAACATCGATGTCATTGTACAATTTTGATTTGCAGCATATTAAGGATGAAAAATTAAGATATTTGGAATATTACTACAATGCTCACAGCAACGCTCCTTTATCAATTTTTGAGTCAGTAAAGGATTACAATAAGACATTAACAATTAAATTAAAAGGAGTAATTCAGTCTCTTGATCGTAGACAAAAGCTGAAAGAAAATGAAGAACCTGTAACTCGAAAATCAGATAGTGTATTACTTAAACCCAAACAATTTAAAAATGAAGATATTCGAAGATCTGATAATGTGCCTATAAAGTCTGATAATTTCAAACCACGAGAATCTACCCAAAATCGTGTTGATTCATTGAAAAATTATAATTATCAGCCACCAAAATATTCATACGACGATGATGATGATCAGTTTGACATTGATCAAATTATGGATGATATTGAAGATGAGAGGAAGAGAACTGATGGTAAATTTAATAATAGCTATGTAGATATTCGTGCCACATCCTCAACATTATCAAATAATGCCAAATTTGAGCCTCGAATTAATATGAAAAATAATATTCCGACAAAGGAAACGCTTGCGAACATTTATGATGAGCATTTGGATGATGATGGATTTCCAATCATCGATTATAGCCAACTTGTTGATGTTCCTTCAACTCCAAAACCATCTACATCCAAACAGTCTTCAAGTAATAATGACAATAGTAATAAAACTAAAAAGGACACTGTTGATTCAATGGTTCCTGATAATATTTCGGATATATCCATCAAAACGACATTTTCACTTGGAAAGTTCAACACAAATATTAGGAATGATGGAATTACTGGCGAATTTGATAATGAAAATTATGAATTTTCAAGGGATTTAAGGAATGCTTTCCGATTAAAATTCGGTTTGAAGCAATTTAGACAGAATCAGTTGCCAGCAATTAATGCTACATTACTTGGAAAAGATTGCTTTATTTTGATGCCAACGGGTGGTGGTAAATCATTATGTTATCAATTAACTGCTGTTATGGGTAGAGGAGTTACTATTGTCATTAGTCCTTTGAAAAGTTTAATTTTGGATCAAGTTAACAAGCTTAAGTCACTCGATGTAAGTAAATTGGAACGAACATTTTAATACACGGAGTATTATTACTTACGTAAAGTCACGTACGTTTTTCATTTTGAAAAATAACGTACGCATTAAGTTACGTAAAGTAACGTACGTTTTTAATTGCGTAAAGTAACGCACGTCTTGAATTGCGTAAAATAACATAAGTCGTACGTAGTATTAATAGACATGAACAATTTTATTGATAATTACAGATAAAAGCAGCAGCACTGTCAGGAGATATATCTCAAAATGATTCAAGGTTAATTTACAGCGATTTAAACCAAATGCATCCAACGATCAAGCTTCTTTATGTCACACCTGAGAAGATTTCTGCTTCATCATTCTTCCAAGATACTTTAACATCACTTTATTCTCGAGACAATCTTACGCGTATCGTCATTGATGAAGCTCATTGTGTAAGTGGTTTAGTTCCAAATTTTATGCACAATTTTCACGAATTTATCTCACAATTAGGTCAGTACATGGGGACACGATTTTAGACCAGATTATAAAAGACTTGGAGAATTAAAGAGAAGATTTCCAAACGTTCCTGTTATGGCTTTAACGGCAACAGCAACTGAACGTGTTCGCACTGATGTCAAGCATCAATTAGGAATACAAAACTGTAAATTGTTCCTTTCAAGCTTTAATCGATCGAATTTAAAATACATTGTGTCACCTAAAGCTGGCGCTAAAACACTACAGGATATAATATGCTTAATTAAGTCTAAATTCCCTCGAGCTAGTGGAATTATTTACTGTCTGTCTCGTAAAGATTGTGATACAATGGCACAAAAATTACAACTTGCAAATATTTCTGCAATTAGTTATCATGCTGGCATGAGTGATAAGAATCGTGAAAAGGCACAAGAAGACTGGATTACTGATAAGTTTCGTGTCGTTTGTGCAACAATCGCATTTGGTAACAAAACCATTTAATTTCTCATTTTAGCAGTGATTGATTGATAACATTTATGCATTTAGGTATGGGAATTGATAAGCCTGATGTACGTTTTGTGATTCATTATTCACTGCCGAAAAGTATTGAGGGATATTATCAAGAATCAGGTGAACAATTAATTTACTTTTTAACGACTTTTTGAAATTCTAATGTTTCATAAAATTCAAATACTATAAATCCGTTAATTTTCAAAAAAAATTAGGACGTGCTGGTCGTGATGGAGGATTGTCAACATGCATTCTGTATTACTCTTATGCTGATAAGATGCGTTATGTCGGGATGATGGCAAATGAACCACAAGCTGTTAAACAAGTATCAATGAATAATCTCGATCTAGTTGTTAATTTCTGCGAAAATATGCTGGACTGTAGACGAGTATTACAGCTTAATTATTTTGGTGAACATTTTACAAGAGAGCAATGCTTAGAGAATCGACAATCAGCTTGTGACAATTGTACAAGAGTATTACAGTATAAAACTATGGATGTTACAGACATTGCTAAAAATATTGTCGCGACTGTTGCTGAAATTTGTTCGAGACATGGTCTTACAATTCTTCAATTAGTGGATGTCTTTAAAGGAGCATTAACAAAGAAAATAACTGATGCAGGTCACCAAATGGCAAAAGGACATGGTTCTTTAAAGCAATGGGAACGAAATGACATCCAAAGAATTCTTCACAAATTAGTCATCGAGAATTATTTACGAGAAGAAATTACAGTCATTAAAGACATTCCAATATCTTATGTTAAAGTTGGAAAAAATGTTGCACAGTTAATGGCTAATAATAAGAAAATTGAGTTTGCAATTATTGAGAAAAAATTCGGAATTGCTACATCTAAGAAAGCTGACGTTCCAGTCAGACGATCTAGTAGTGACGAAGAATTTAATAATAAAATCAGTGCATTACGTGATAGATGTTATCATGATCTTATGGATATTGCACGATCAATTGCTGATGAACGAAACTTGACAATTCAGCAAGTCATCAACATGGAAGCTTTACGACAAATGTCAATTCAAATGCCAGAAACAGAAGAGGACATGCTTCAAATTCCTCATATCACAAAAGCCAATTACGAAAAATATGGCAAAAAGTTTTTGGATGCAATTGTTCCTTATTCAGCACAACAAAGTGCCTATGAAATGGATCGTGCTGAAGAAAATGCAAATCTCAATCAAGGAAATAATAATTATATGAATGGAAGTGACGATGAATATGCAAATTCACAAGATTGGGAGCAGTTAGGCAGAGAAGCATCAACAAGTGGAACTCAAAAAGGATATAAAAGAAAGTCTAGTTCCAATTGGGGCAAATCAATCACAAAGAAATACAAAAGATCGAAAAGCGGAGCTAAAAGGAAGGGAAAATCGCCTGTCAAGAGACAAAATTCAGGAAGTGCAGCAAAGAAAAAGGTTTTTAAGGGATTAATGCCTACTCCTCGACCAACATTTTAAGAGAATCAATTTGATTCAACTAGAGCGAAGGGGTAAAAATTAAACTAGATTTTAAGTTTTTTTTACAATTTTTTTTAAATTCGCAAATTAAGCTTAAAATAAAAATGTCATTTAAACATACAGTATTTGACTACTCTTAAAGCGAACAAAACTTTACGGACTTATTATAGATTCCATCCAACCTAAATAATGTGAAATATTGACATAAACTGATGGGAATCCAAAAGCACAGCCGATTCCAAACGATGTAATTCCAATTAATGTTGGAATTTTGTAAATTGTTTGATCCTCAACCAGATCTGAACTCATGTATTGAAGTGCTGATCCACTGTCTCCATAGCATAAATCTTGTGGTGGAAGATCTTCTCTATATCCTAATGCACAAATTTGTGCATCTGCTGATAATGGAAGGTCATATGAGTTTTGACAAGTTTGCATCTCTACAAGCTTTAAATGTACTTTAGAGAGCCGATTTGATCGTAGATGGTTCTCAGCTTGACCATAACCAGCTCCTTCAAAGTATTCAGTTTTAATTACTCCAGAATTTAAACATGCAGGAACTACATTCATTGTTGGACTAAAATAGATTAATTATAACTTCCTTAGTCTACATATCCATAATTTATTTCTTACTTGACCTGTCCACGAAGTTGAATTAAAGCAATATCATTTTCATTAGTGTCATAGTTATAGTCAGGATGCTTGATAGTTCTGTAGACATAAAACTGTTGAATGTGGTGATTATCTTCTTCAGAATTTAAATCCACATCGCCAAGCCTAACGATATTTGGTTTTCTTCCATCAAGTAACATGCAATGAGCAGCAGACATTACAAAAGTTTCAGTAATTAAATTTCCAGCACAGTTCCATGAAATTGAAAAATCAAGTAATTGAATCCATCCTAGAAATTTTAACGGAAATATTAAATTCAAATTATTTTTTAAAAACCATGCAAATTATCTTTGAAAGCATTTCAAATGTTTATAAATCTGACTGTTATATGGTTTTGAACCACAATTTTAAGTAAAACCATACAAATGTTTAATTTAAACCATACAAATGTTTTGTAAGGCAAATTTGAATCTTCCGTTATAAATTTAAATTAATTTTTATAGTAAAATACAACCATTCAAGCGGTATTTACCGATTGCAGCAATGTGTGAAAATTCATATGGTGCTACGTCAACGCCATTAATAGCAAAAGCTTCAAATGTTGAACTTTCAGTCATTCGCAGATTCTTATACTTATTAGCACATATATCATAATCCAAAATGCCATCTCTAGTTACGAGATTTATAAAAATCATCACGAGAACAGCAGACTAAAGTATCATCTCCTCGATTTGACGAACCAAAACTACAAACTTCAATGTCTTTCTTTTCTTCCAATAAATTCATACAATTTCTTAATTTTTTGCACTTTCCACTATAAATCTCTGGATTTAATCCACAAATTTCATTTTCATATATATCCACAGGATATCGTCTAATTCCAACAGCATCCAATAAATATCCTTGTAATGAAAATGTCACAGACATGATAAAAATTATTTTTATGCCTTTATAGTCCATCTTAAAACAAAGAATAATCACTAATGATTGCTCATAAAGAAGAAATCTTGCTGTGGATTCCTATAAATAAAAGTAATCAAATATTTGTTGTCTCGCGTATTTGAAAATCATCCACTAATAATGACATCACATTAAAATAAAGGAAAAAAACCATCGCTACTTGAGTTCTCAGCACATGACTTTTTTTGCTTTTATTATCAATTTATTTGTGTTTTTTATTTCGGTTTGCTTCTTTTAACATTTAAGAATAAATAAGTTAATTGATAAAATCGTCTAGGAAATTTCTTATTTAGTGGGATACTAATTTCACATTTTTATCATATCATAATCATAATTATAGAAAGTACATGTTAAGGATTCATTTTCTAAAGCTGAATTGTGTTGGTGTTCTCAATATTGAAACATAGGAAAATTAAAAGGTCGAAAATGAAAAAGGAAATTTTGGTGCGACTTAGTTTTTTTATGTATTATGTTTCATATATCGTGCATTGATGACATAAATAAAAATAATAAAATATTTAAGAGAAAAAGAAGATCCTTTAAAACTTTATGCTTGTAAAAAACACCAATTCTTCAAGCTTCCATAAATGGTTAATTAATTAATTTTAAGCTGTTTAATGATGATGAAGTGGATCTAATTCAAAGAGTACATTGAGATGAGCTTCTTTTGCAAGATGTACGATTTGAGATAAGTGTACGCTGAGCATAGCTGCTTCATCAAGATCGTCTTTTGGTAAAATGCGCAATTTTGATTTACGGATAAGTTCCTTTGCCTCATTTACATTTGTGCCCTAAGATTAGAATTAATTAGACCTCAATGCTACTCCAATTCAAAATAATCGTGACATTTGATACGCCACAATTTGAATGTGTTAATTAAATAAACAACTCAACCAACCTGAAGACGAACGATAATAGGCAAAGTAAGACTAAGTTCTTTTGTTGCAGCAATAATACCTTCGGCAATAACATCACAGCGCATAATACCACCAAAGATGTTAACAAGAATTACATGAACTTTTGGATCGGCTGTGATAATTTTGAAGGCTTCCTTTACGGCATTAGCTGTTGCTCCACCGCCAACATCCAAGAAGTTTGCTGGATCTCCTCCATGAAGCTTGATGATGTCCATTGTAGCCATTGCGAGACCTAGAAAAATTGAATGATTTTTAACGATTTATCAGAATTTAAATTTTTTTCGAGTTCAAAAATACGTTAAAAAGATGACTTACCAGCACCATTAACCATGCATCCGATAGATCCATCCAATGCAATGTAGTTAAGGTCGAATTTTGCAGCAGCAACTTCCTTTTGATCCTCTTGTGAATAATCACGTTTCGAGAACAAATCCTTTTGACGGAATTCGGCATTGTCATCAAACCTCATTTTAGCATCGAGTGCAAAATCTACAAAATATAATTGGTGTTATTAGGTCTTAAACTCAATAAGTTTGAAAATATAAAAATAAAAAAATTTGATAGTGAATATAAAACAAAAAACATCAGAACTACTTAATAGCCAATTTACAATTTTGCTTCGCATAGTAATTTCACTAAGCACTCTCAATGATTAATTTTGATCTTGGATAGGTTTTTTTTTGGACACTTATGTATAATTTTGAGTCGTTTCCAAAAAGTATCTAGGTTTGATGAACTGAACTGATGTTTACTTACACTGTTCGCCTTGAATGAGAAAAGAAGAAAATGATTGGTTGTGATTATGATTATTGTAAGTAAAATGTATGTAGTGGATATATTAGATAGAAACTTGGTGCAGATTAATGATTCAGGCAGATCTTTGGACAATAACTTACGAGTTTCGCCGGCATCTTCAGCATAAGGATTAATTTCAACAAGCAATGCATCTTTCTTGACGAAAAGATCGTACAAGTTTAAGAGCATTTGTGCTGTTGTATCTAAATGATCATCTAATCCAACTGTTCGTGCAATTTTCAATGCTTGATCTTTTGTTAATCCCTTATTGATATCAATTGGTTCGTAGATAATAGCCTCTGGATTCTCAGCAGCTACTTCCTCAATGTTTACACCACCTTGTGATGATGCAATAAGTACAGGGCCATTGAAAGCACGTTCCATCATGACAGCAAAGTAAAATTCACGTCTTGGGAACTTTCTTTCAGCTACCATAACTTTATTACAAATTCTACCAGCAGCTCCAGTTTGTTTGGTGACCAACAATTGATTAATCATCTTTCCACCAATTTCTTTTGCTTCTTGTGGATTATTGATGACTCGTACACCTCCTTTAAGTCCATTTTTGAATGCTCCTTTACCACGACCACCAGCCAATACTTGTGCCTTCAATATCAAGTTCTTTGTTTGCAATTCCGTTGCAATCTTCTCCGCTTCCTCAGCTGAATGAGCAACCCCAAACCTAATTAAATAGAATCAAAACATGATTATTATATTGTTGATTTTCCTTATCAAAATTGCGGACGGACTCTGACGTAAATTGTTTTTAGATTAGCAGGTTCACCCTTCCTCACATGTTTACAATTCATTAATGAACGTGTAAACCTGATAAGGAAGTTGATCGCATTAAATCATGAGTCATCATATGATAAAGACGTTATACATACTTTGGTGTCGGAATTCCAGCTTCGTTGAGGAAGGAATATGAAATGTGCTCTTGAACATTCAATTGACGCTTTTGTTGTGCAGCACTGAGAATCTGTAAATATAAAGTAAGTAAATTTATTTTAAGACATTGGCATTGTTGTGTAAAGCAACTGATTGATTTGTTCTTCATTTTCTTTCGTACGCTATTTTTAGGTCACACGCAAAACGAAAATCAGATGATTTTTTGGTAATTCCTTTCTTATTCATCCTCTATGTATCTCTTTCGCATGAGATTCGCTGATTTGGCGTCTTACTTTCCAGTACACAATGCAAATCAATTGCTAGCGACGTCATCATCTTGATCACTCAATGTTATTTAATTGAATAATTTGAAAAATAGCGATAAAAAAAGGCTTTATGACCGTGCTCAAGGTTGCCAAGTGATTATTCAATCTTTTCTATGAAAATTTTCATTTCACTTTTTTCTTAGAATTTTTTTAAAACTTTTTTCACTTTTAATTCACAATTTTCACGGATATGATTAATATTTTTAATACTCACTTTAGCGCCATTTCGTAATGATGAATTTGCAAATAATGCTGATCTTGTTAAGAAGCTCATATTTTATTAATTAAACGACTTTTCCGAGCGATCGAACTTATTTCTATTTTTCCTTCACGTGAACTGCTTATGTCTGCTTGCTGTCTGTTCTGTTTCGGTTTATTACAACAACAATGATGCTTAATTGCTTATTTTCTTTTGATTTCTGAATTAAATTGTTATTTATTATTGTTTTAGATTGTTTGATATTAATCACTAGATGTGCTGACTTACTTAATTGTCCTGTATTTATCGCCTAAATAACCTTAAACTTTATTTTGACAAAATTTTATTTTGCAATTTTACATTTCCATCGAAAAAATTCAAATATCATAAAGACGTTGAGCATATTTAATAGCTGCTGTAATCTAATATTCCTTTTTTGTGGATATGCATTTTTGAAATTAGAATTAAAATCGATTTTAAAAATTTAACAGTCAAAAGATATTTGAATTTGATAAAGTTCAATTTTTGAACTTTCAATATAACGTTAAATCCAATAGAACTTCTGGAATAATCATTATCCCTATACCTTATACCATTATTTAAATAAAATAGTGCTTATCTTTATTGTATAAATTCAACATAATTTCTTGCAATTCTTCAGCATTATCAAAACGTTCTCTCCACGATTGAAGGAAGCCATCTAAATTTGCATCATACGTCTTCAATTGGACTTTTCCATCAGCATCAATTTCTGTATTCGATTGAGTTAAAATTAAGCGTGGCTTTCTATTAAGCAGTACAATATCACGCCATTTAGCAAATGGATGTGGACCATCTTCATCTACACTTGAATATTTTTCATACATATTGTTGGCAGCTTCGTAATCAGCAGTTGATTTGTAAACTTGAAGTTTTAATAAGAAATCAGATATGGCTTGACGACCAACAGTTTCGATTTTATCACGATGCAATTTAATTGATAATTTTTTTCCAGGTTCACTTTCTGTAACTTCTAATAATCCACATTCAATCATGATTTTTGTTATTGCATAGCGAGCTCTTGAATGTGCTTGTCCCCAAATTTTTGTGGCAGGATTCCACATTTCAACAGCTCTGCCTGCACCAGCATATGCCATTAATAACCATCCAACATAAATCAGATTGTCTATTTCTGTCTCATCAGTATGTCCAAAAATCTTCATGACATCACGATTGAACATTAAATGTAGAGCAACAGCTTCTGCACGACATTCTTCATAACTTGATCCCATTGCTTTGAATTTTGAGTCAAATGTTTCTCCTGGTTCATACCAAGAAGTTATTGGACCATTTGTTAGTGGATTGATCACACTTTCCTTGTCAAAATTAAGTTTTCCATTTTCATCTATGGAAAATAATTTTCCTGAACCATGACCAAGTAACTCGTGAAGACCTAATTGTACTTCAAATGCTGGTTCTTTATATTTTATCATTAAATCACTGTCTTCTTGACTTAAAAACGGATAATCATCGATTCCAAATCTTGATTTCAAGACATTTCCTAATGTTATATTCTTAAATCCTTCTTTATGACGGAGTTCTTCATAGGTTATTGGAATTGAAAGACCGACAGGAACTGAAGAACCACTGAATGCAAGGACATCTGTCAAATAAGAATATGGAAAAATTGATGTCAGAAAGTGATTGAAATTTTGAAAACCCTACAAATTAATTTCACAAAAATAAAACATTTGTACTGCTTTACAAAAGTTTTTAAAAGATTTGTACGGTTCGCAAGCATTGGTAAAGAAATGATATTACCAACATATGAAAAATCAGGCTTAGAGAACTTATCCTTCTCAAATGTTGCAGGCCATGGAAGTCCATTCAAGAAATTTTCAGCTTCTTGGACCAAATTTTGAAATCTCTCAGATAATACACGATTAATCATTGAAGTCCATCCGAAAAATTCACCACGTTCGCCTGCTGGATCTTTATAAGTAAACATCCATCCAATATATGCTTCAACAGCTGGCACTCTATCTAATACCCAAAATTTGGAACCTTCTTTATGAGCACTTAAGTCGCCTTCTTTAAATGATTTTGAGATATTTTCAAGCATTTTCTTTTGGCCATCATTAGCAGCAAAGTTGCATGCATCATTTAAGTAGTTAATGACAAATGGAAGTATTTCGGAATAATCTCCTCGAGTGATTTTAAATGCAGCTCCGTTAAAATCATCTTCTGCTAATGTAATGCCTTCTTTATCGCCAATTTCTGATGACGCTAAACGAATTTCGAAGTGACTCTTTCCACTTTCATCAACAGTCTTAAAAGTACGGCTTATGTAGGCTTCGTACTTCTTCATTTTCATCCATTCAGTTACTATACTTGCATCTTCTTTGGTACAATTTCCTGAAAAGTATGTTGTAATTCCTTGACCTTTTAATCCAAAAGACTTATTGCTGTCATTTAATAGAAAAATGGATGTTTTGGCTTCATTCCATAGACTTTCAGCCTTTAATGGATTTTGAGTATAGAACTTTGAGCTCTTAATTATCACTTCCATTTTTGATTCATCAATTCCTGGTATAAACTTGTTATCACCAAAACCTTTATAATTTCCGGCGTTTGAGAAGAAACCGCAACAATAGACCAAAAATGCCTGTTTGATATGCATAATAAGTGTCATTAATATTTACAATTAATGTCTTTAACTTACAGCAAATTCATTTTCGGTGATTTTATCCTTACTGGATGTTCTTAATGATTCAACAGTTTCAGAAGTAAATATTCCATGAAGTAATGAGAAAATCAAAGGTGATTCCGGCGATGATTGTATGAAAGATATTAAAGAACCGTACCAACTAGCCTGTGATGATAAAGATTTATTATGCAAATATTTAAATATATAATTTAATTGATGTTTACTTTGTTATAATTGTGCAAATACTTCCTTTCCTTATCAGTCAATTTCTGAAAAGCTTGTGAACAGTCTAAATTGACAATAGGCGTGTCATTCTCAAGAATAAATTCTTTTAAATCCATTATTCTAGTTGAATATCTTCTTCTTACTGTAAATGACGAGACTCTTTTAAAAGAATTAATAACTCTTTTGTTTACTTTTATAAATGCTAACATTAGCATGATGTTGGTTGTTGTTTGACGGAATGTCTGAAATTCAAACATTATTTGTCGGTTGGTCTGCAATTCAATTCAAATCAAGAAGCATGCGGTACATGCGAAGCATCGAAAATAAAATCGATTTAAATTTTTAAAAACCGTTAAAAAATGTTTGTGTAATCACGTGGTTCATATTTCCCTCCCTCATTGCAAAACTGACTTATTAGACCTGCTTAAAATCAATGATGAGATTTATACAGAATTATTTTAAAAGAATTTAATCAAATTTAATGAATGTTTTTAATGCAAACAAGCTTCTCATTCGAATAAATTTCCATTCAAAGCGAGCAGTCTAATTTCAACTGATGTAACTATTCAGTGTCTTAAGTCTCGACTCGACTCCCTGCAGCTATGCAGCTATGCATCAGAATATTCAGATTGAAAGAGAAATGCATGTAATGAAGATGATATGAGATATATAGAAGGAAGAAAAAGAAGACGAGATGAGAGTAGTAACCAGAGGTCGAAGTTGGTGAAGTGAAGTCGTTTCACTTCACTTCACTTCACTAAAATTTCAATCGGTTTTAAGTCAGCTCGAGTGAACTCATTTTTTTCGTATTCACTCGAGTCGACTTTTAACCGAGTTGATTTTTTCGTGTTCACTCGAGTCGACTTTTAACCGAGTTGATATTTTCGTGTTCACTTTAGTCGACTTGAAACCGACTTGATTTTTTCGTGTTCACTCGAGTCGACTTTTAACCGAGTTGATTTTTTCATGTTCACTTTAGTCGACTTGAAACCGACTAGAGTTCACTAAGGAAAAAAAAATATATTATAACAAACTGATTTCTGCTAGTGCTTGTGAAGTATATGTGATTACATACAAAATTGCAGAATTTGTCCTTTTTTACTTTTCATAATCATAAAGCAAACTAAACGAATTAATTTAAAATATTTTTCAAACTTCCAGTTTATTATAATTCAAGTTTTAATTTTTTTTTTCATTATTTATGTTTGTACGTTGAAGAAATTTAACTCTATAAATAAGAAAAAAGTGTTACAGATCTAAATTTATTTTATTATTCTTGAAGATTAAATTTAAATGTATTATGCAGCACAATTTTTGTATCCTTTTTCCAGAGATCAAACAAATAAATCTGAAATTAAAATATATTTACCAAAATTGGAAATATGGTGTGAATTAAAATAAATTTTATTCATAATTGTAGCAGTTCGTAATAAATAATTTCAAATCAGAAAAATAATCTATAGTGCAAAACATTTATAAAATATATGAAATCTAAAAAATATTTTAAACTAATTCGTTTAGTTTGCTTTATGATTATGAGAAGTAAAAAAGGACAAATTCTGCAATTTTGTATGTAATCACATATACTTCACAAGCACTAGTAGAAATCAGTTTGTTATAATACATTTTTTTTTCCATAGTGAACTCAAGTCGGTTTCAAGTCGACTAAAGTGAACATGAAAAAATCAACTCGGTTAAAAGTCGACTCGAGTGAACACGAAAAAATCAAGTCGGTTTCAAGTCGACTAAAGTGAACACGAAAATATCAACTCGGTTAAAAGTCGACTCGAGTGAACACGAAAAAATCAACTCGGTTAAAAGTCGACTCGAGTGAATACGAAAAAAATGAGTTCACTCGAGCTGACTTAAAACCGATTGAAATTTTAGTGAAGTGAAGTGAGTTTGCTTCATCGACTTCGACCTCTGGTAGTAACAATGAAAACGGCATCATGTGCCTTTTTCCCTTTTGACGACTATATTTTGTTATTTAGAATTCCGAAAAGAATACACAAACGTGTAAAAGACAAAAGAAATGCTGTAGTAAAAGAGACATAGTTTATAACATCTATCGATGGGTGGCAAAGTAAACAATTATCTAAACAATTTATGGTTCTTATTCCTCTAAAAAGAAGAACAGGTTTCCATGACAAAATGTTTCGTATTAAAGCATCAATTTGCCTGCCTACTGATTTTGTGTAGATAGCATCTGAATGCATACAATAATCGGAGTCCTTTTTATGTCTCTCTTCTATCTTATTTTTTTTGTTTTATTTTTTTTTTTTGTTTGCACAAATTCCAATTTCATGGAACGAAAAAGGAAATAGAAGAATCGATTAGGTCAGTAGTCGCATTTCTTCTCGAAACATAGATTGCACATTTTTTGTGTATTTAACTTCCGAGAAGATATTTATGTCACTAGAACACTTAGCACATAATAACATAAAAAAGAGAAGAATAGAATGATTCTACTGATGCTGCAATAACAAGTCGTTCGTAAATGATGTCTGCTGAATTTGTGGATTTTTAGATCAGGCGCATCTACTTCAAAAAGTTCTGGTAACTTAATGCTTGTAATTAAGTGTTAAGAACTAGATTTTAAAATTCTATCAAATTCTTGATGTTCAAGTTCATGACCAAGCTGAAATAATTATTGCTGCTAAGGTCCGATTGACATTCTTTATAATATGATAAGTCCTTTTTGGCGGGAAAATCCGATTTTATTGCCAGAAACTATCGTTTTTTGATCAGGGGCCGTTTAATTATTACGTTACGCAAAAAAACAACTTTTTTCACCCCCCTCCCCCCCCACCCCTGTTAGAATATGTTACAACTCACAACCCCCCCACCCCCCTGAACGTTCATAATTTATTTTATCATTAAAAAGGTGAAAAACTTTTAAAAAAAAATGTTTTTGGTATGAATTTGTAAACAAATTTTTTTCGTGAACTTTTTTTAAAATACAGACGATAGTTAGAACGTTACATACTTCTTGAACCCCCCCCCCCCCCCCCCTATGTTACATTTTGTTACAATTTTTCAAAACCCCCCCCCCTCCCCCCTAAAATGCGAACGTAATAAGTGAACGGCCCCTCAGGGGACACAATTATATATAAAGCATGACGTTCTGACTTGTTTGGGTCCCAAATCCTTTCTACTCATGCTTCTGTTTTAAGAATCATTGGTAAATTGATAAAATTCGTAACTCTTCATGACCAAATTGACCAATTAAAAATGTTCTAAATTCAAAACTGCACATGACATAGTTTCCCATCGAACCCCAAAACATGAATGCTGAAATAATTTTAATGACGAAATAAACAAGAATGAAAATTAAAAATAAAAAACGTTAAATGATTATTCCAATTGAAAAAATAACTTAATTAAATATCATTGTAACTCTCAACATGACCATAACTTTTATTTTTTCATATTCAGCAGAAGTGAATAAGAGAGAGATATTTCACACTACACTGCATGATGTCCATAACATCGGGGAGATTCAGTTTCCGATTTTGTTCAACATTTTATGAAAAAAATATTTTTTTTTCAATATTATTCATTTCGTTGTATATTTCCAATGCAGCAATAAATTTACAAAAAAAAAAGCGGGACAGAAAAGTACAAAACTAACGAAGTATTCACACTGCAATAAATTCATTTAAGCTTATTCAATAAATTTGTTCACATTTTTACTGACTTATTTCTCTTTTTCCAAGAAATGTAAAGTCAGTCGCTTCATGCTTTCAGGTTTATGATATCAATTTTTATTTCATATTTTTTTTTTATCATTTCATGCATGTTGTTGTTGTTGATACATGGCTTTTTATGACCAATGTAAGTTTATTACTAATTTACTTCCCTTCATGTGCATTGATAAGGTCGAGTTAATGAAAGGTAAAATGAAATTCATTAAACGATTAAAGGATTAAAGGAATTAAAAATATTTTTATTTTTTTTCCTCTCTGACCCTCAATCATACGTTAATGATCAATTTTGCGCATAAAAACCCACAAAAATTTAAATCATGTCAGACAGTTATGTGCGGAGTGAGTTTGAGGACAGCTTATAATTTTTATGTCTGAGACGCTTTTAAAGATTTACAGTTTAGGTGCATAAACATGAGGATTAGGTTGCAAACCTTCCGAAACTGGAACCTATCGACTTCGAACTCTGATAATTAGGTTTGGATGTTTAACTTTAAATGATTGTTTGCTCGGTTCTAATAAATTGTGACAACCAGCAAGGTAGAATCTGAGATATTTATCAATATTAAAGAAAATCTGCAAGTGATAGAGAACCTGTGAGTCCTCTGTGGTCGAAAAGCTAGGCAACAGTCCAAAATATTTTAACTTCTCATTTGAAAGTGTGAGTTCGATTCCCATCAGAGGCCGATCTTCTCAATTGTTGCATAGTTTATTGTCGATATGTAAAGGATTCTCGACATAGAAATACGGGTTGATACTGCCTTAAAATGTTAATTACCTTTTATGACTTTATGTCATGCAATATTATGAAAAACCTCTTAAAAATACCTTCATAGAAGCTTTATGTCTGACATGTGGTTTATCACATAATGAAATTTTTGTAATGCATGAGACAAAATTGACGATTACATTTACTTTAATACGATTGGATCCAGTTCGATGTCATCCCATCAATATTCACATAATTAATGATAAAATGATTTCAAGCCTTTCACGAAAGATGACAAATCGAGCAATAATCAGATACATTTGCCCTTTGCAAAAATGCTACAAAAAGTGGCTTTTAATGCTTCCAAAAAAATATGTCATAATCATAAAAGGTGTTTAAAAGGCTTTTAACCACTCGTTTAACATTTTCGGTTAATGAAGGGTGATATTTTCACATTTTTTTTGATCGATTGTTAAGTTGATAACATTCTCATCAATATTTATGACTTTCCTTTTATTTAGCTTGCTCGTAAAAACTTCTTGCCTCTTGTAATTCTAGACGAGGAAATAAAAAAAGGTTTAGAAGCTAAACTCAAGTCAAATGAGTAATAGAACTAAAAGTTTACGTAGTCAGCTCCTATTCCTTGAATTTCCAAAATTTTTATTATCTTATTTCACTCTTTACTAAAAATAAAATAAGAAATATTAACTTTGTACCTCATCAATCATTTTTCTTTTCTCATTTCAAAGTTAATTTTCAAGACAAAAAAAAAACGTAAATGACTGAGTAAAGGAGAAAGAGTAAGCACTAAACATGTTCGTTTTTTTTTTGTTTATTTCATAGTTCATTAAGCCATG